CGGATGAAAGCGACCACGGCGTCGGGCGCCTCGCGCTGCCGCTTCCCCAGCCGCCCGCCGCCGCCCCCCTTCCCGCCTTCCGCGAAGGATGCGGAGATCAAACGCCTCGAGGCGGAGCTCCAGGACGCGAAGGAGGCGCTGGTGAACGAACGGAAACGAAGCGCGGATCTCTCCATCACGATCGCCCGGATGCGCGCGGAGAAGCAGCAGCTCGTGAATCGGATCGACCGCCTCTCCCAGTCCAACGAGTCCCTTGAGGAGAAGGTCGAGCGGCTCGAGAAGGCTGCGCAGGAGAAGATGGAGGAGAGGGAAGCGGAAGCAGAAGCGGAAGGAGAGGGTGAGGGTGAGGGTGAAGGTGAAGATGAGAGGGAAACGGAAAGGGAAGCTGAGGTACAGGGAGAGCCGGAGGGCCTCATGGATGGCGAAAGTTCGATTCCCGGGATCACCGCCGACGTCTCGCCTCGCGCCGAGGACGTTTCCTCGCCGCCAGCGGAGGAGCTTCCGGTGGAGGTGGTGAGCAGCCCGAAGGTGATCCAAGCCTAGCCGACGCCTGAAGAAGCGACATCGACTGAAAAATCGTAGAGTTTTACGAAGTTATATAAAAAGGATATGCATCGTCTTGCCTAGTCACTTTTTTTTAAAAGAAAAAATGAGGAGAGAAAACTGACAGACACACGAACAAAAATATTAATAAGTGGTGAAAACGCGAGGTTTGTTATGTTTGTAAAAAGATTTTATGATTCTACTTGCCTGATCGGTAGAGCGGGCTTCCATAAAAAGGCACATAGCTTGGTGTGCGTAAATACGTGATATTCAGCAATGGAGGTTGATGCCCTGGTCGACCACTCGGTGTTGTAAGACAATATAAACATGCACTCACTTCACTCGTCTCCTTCCTCTTCTCTTCTTTCCCCCTCGAAAGAAAAACTCAGATTAGGTCGACCCCATCCTTCAGAAGGAATTGGGGTGTTAGAGGTAAGCCAATATTATGGTTGTAGCAAAGGCAATGGACTGCGCGCTGAGTTCACCCAAAGACGGGCGTCCACAGGAGTCAGGCTCTGTTGCTATCCGCAAATTTTTTATTCTCAATTCAAGCTCCGATGACGAAGAGATAGTGATAAAAAATTCGAGAGTAAACTATGATTCAGATAGATCTTCTGAACACGATGTTGATCTCACGCTTTTATCCAAGCACCCCACCTCCTCGTCATCCCGGAGCTCCAGCAGCGATGGTGCTGCCGGGGATACTGAACTCACACGCTTGCCTCCTCACCAAGGCCCGGGTGCTAGCGTGCAGATCAAAAAAATCCCTACCACCGATTCAGAAGATTCTTCCTTAAGTTCTGTGAACATCCTTCCGGAAAGCGAAGATGAGACGCAAGGTGGGGAAAACGATACCCCCCAAGCTGATGACGCCACGGTATCGCAACCGCAACAGTCGAAAGAGGGAGATCGCGAAAAGGTCCAGTTATCGCCCGCAGCTCTCGTCAATAGGGGCTCTCATCTAGTTCAGCCTCCGGAGAGCGTTACCACGACCAACAACACCTCCTTTTCCCATCACAACTATCACCTTACTCCACAACAAACATTGGACGCTCAGGTAAGGGGGAAATTGGAGCGGGCGGATAGACTGAGCATCTACGAAAGAGGTATCAATATGAAAAAACGGAAAGAACAGGGGCTTCAACATCTGCGTGCAGCTCTCTTGGAGGATGAATCTAAGGAGGCAACCTTTCACCCCAAAATATCCAAGCGGGCTGAGTCTCTTCGAAGGCGAAGCACCACACCAGAGGACGCGACCAATGCAATGCGAATGAAAAAACGTTTAATGCTTTTGGAATTGCCGAGCAATGAATCAAACTACTCGTTTACGCCGCGCATCTCACGAAAGTCTGCTGAAATTGTACGCCACGCGCGCTCCGACAGTTCAATGAGCCTACCCATTGTGGAGCGGCTTTACCATGGACATGGCTTATCCAAAAAAGAATCTCGGTGCGCGCTGTTAGATGATACCCCTCGTCCAAAACACATCGTCCGCACCCCGAGTGAAATTAACAAGCACATCGCATCCATGTACCTTTTTGAGTCGCAGCGACAAGAAGCTATTCGAGAGGTTCAGGAGGAATTACTGAGAGGGGCCGCGCCTACCCCTCATGTGGATCCCTCCGAGGTGGTGAAACGACTGACATCTCCCAACCCCCTGAGAAGGCCGTCGGCGTACAAGGCGGGCACCCATTCATCGCCCGAGGAATGCACGTTCGCGCCGAAACTTAGCACCGCAGCGTCGGCGTACGTGGCCAGGGCTCGGCAGCGCGGCCTCACGCGCTGGTTTCTTTACTTTTCCAAACCAAACGCCACCACGCTATCCCTGGAGGATCTTCGCCACCCGCACGCCCAGCATGCCGATATCGCGAGTCGGATCGAAGCCGCCCTCATTGCCAATTCCGGGCGTGCGGCGACCGCCGTGGGGGAGGGAAAGGAGGAAGAAGAGGCAATAAAGCCGTCCCCATCCGTCGTCGCGAGCGAATGGACGTTGCAAGAATTCCTCGATGCCCTCACCGCGATGGAGGAGAATAAGGGATTGCCCCAATTCTGGCGGGAATCCCCAAGTGGCGACCATGAAGAATCGGCGGCTCTTTCCGGGCGAGGTCGTGCAAAAACGACCGACTCGGACTTGACTTTTCAACCGCAGATCAACTCCAAAAGTCGCGCCCTCGCGCAGCGTCAATGTCGAGAAAAGCGCGCCGCCCAGCTTCCTGCACACGAGCGACTCTTCCTCTCCGTCCGACAGCAACAACTCCAACAAGCACAAAAGGAGCTCGAGGAAGAGCAGGAACGGCTAGTTTCGGAGCAGCTGGCGGAGGAAAAACGCGCGCGTTCGATTCTTCAGTGGCGACAGCATAACGCCTCGAGGGCGAAGGAAAGCAAACCGGAGGTGGCTCCACCACCCGCGGATTCCCAGAGAGCGGAGGCCACGCAACACGCTTCCTCTGAATTGGAGCCGGCGCCGAAACCCCCTCCGCCGGCTTTCCCAGCACCTAAGCGCGACGCGACGCCAGCAGCAGCAGCACCCGTACCGAAGTCCTCAATGCTTGATCTTTCCGTGATCAAGAAGGCAACCGCGGAGCTCGAGGAGGCTTTGCGCGAAGAAAATTGTAATGCGATCAAAAAAAACATCAGGGCTGTAGAAGGCTTATCTTCCGCCACAAACCCTTCTGCACCCACCCCGCCTGCTAGTCGCTCTGATCGAAAGACGAGAAGCCACACCCCCACGCGCAGCTCTCTAGGGATTCTTTTCGATCACGAATCACCGAGGACCATCAGCCTCCTGTTGGAGTGTGCGAAGTGCAAAAATCCAACGTGTGTTTCTACTGCTGAGAGACAAAAAATTGAGCGAGATAACAAACGTCGACTAAGACAACTCGGAAGAGCCTTGTATAGAAAAAGTTGTGGGCTGTGCCCATGAGACATTTAGATTTTAACCATTTTGTTTTCACTCATGTGGATTTTCGTTTGCCATTTATTTACTCAATAAGGAAAAAGAAACTGAGACCTATGCCCCAATTCCCAGCATATCTCCAGGCTACCCATATGTGCCCATTTCTACCTTTTTATTCTTTTGGCCCCGCCTCCCCTTTTCTAGCTACCAGGAGTTGTGCGGAAACAAGTGCTAGAAATTTACCCCTTCCAGTGATGTAAATCTGGCGAAGGGTGCCCCAAATGGGTTTTGCA